TAGTCAGACTAGAATTGGGATGGGCATCTAGGCTTTTATCTCAAGGCAGTAGTATAAATATAAATAAATAAGTAAAAAATAAGAACCATAGATAATGAATATTCTAAGTGTCTAGTTAAGACTGCTAGAGGAGGCTTTAGATTTCATATTTCTAACTCTCTGCTGTGGTAGACATAGACACACTACTTGTAGTGATTGCCTTGTAACAGAATAGAACGACAGGGCTGATCCAGTCTCACCATATTTTCATCAGACTGTTTAGGGCATTATGTTTTATGGATCTGTAATTGAAAGCGAACATATCGTTGATATAAAACAGTAAGAACAGATGGAGTATATTTGAAATACAATTCATTTCTCAACATCAGAGTTTGACTAGGTATATGGAATTAATGTAATTACTTACATAGTTGAAGCAGCAATTTGGGGCTTATAGTTTAGGCTATTTGGAAACTGATTTTGAAAGGGCATTTGATGTTTAGTTTTAATCTTTTGTTCTGACAAGTTATCTCTGGAGAAGTAATAGTGATAGTTTTTGAGCTAATCTTTATTCTTAATATTCTCTCATTATAGAGTTAATTCTATCCATCTATTGTTTAATATGTATTGCCATCACAAGTACCTGTTTGCTTTTATGTCTGTAATGTACATTTTGGCCTTTATTGATGATATCTGATGGCATAAATGTTATTGTAAATTTTACTTCTAAGTCTTGGTTTCAAAAGTTACTTGCAGATTATTTAGTGACAATAAATCCTATTTCCTTCACTTACCTCTTGGTATATGTAATTTTTTGTCCTCTTCATTATCTTTCACCACATCTTCAACCCAGATATCAGGAACATCTTTGTTGTCCAAAATCAGAATTACTCCAGATAATTGAGATAAAATTTCTATATATTGATGTGGCACCAGATGAATGATATTATATTTAGGATGCTAGAACTTTATTTGCTGTATTTATTAATTATTTTAAACTTACAATTTTATCATAGTTATAGTAGTGGTAGTTTTATTAGAAATGTGACTTCTGAAGTATTTAATGGCTTTTGAATCCCACATGGATTATGAAAGAAAAGTGTTTTTTACACGGATGCTCCATTTTCAGATAGTGCTATGGAGTGAAGCGTTAATATAATTTCCCAATTATCCTGGGCTTGTGCAAATTCAAGGAGAGGTAGAAGAGACTCTTAGCTCGAAAAAATCCTGGAGATGCTAATGGAATCATGAGACTATTTAAGAATAAATTGTTAATACTTGAGATTAAGGAAGATATATTTGAAGTTTGAGTTTAAAAACAAAATTTAAAAATTTTATTTGGCACCTGCACATAATGAAGAAAACATTTTCATTGTCTCACAAAGAAAATCATATTTTTTATTTAAATCATATATTCTGAGTAATAGATAAAGTAATAGGATAAGTTATAGGGTATGGCAATTATATTCTATAATTGTTATTAATAATTGTTATAAAGGTTATCCTGCCTTATTTATGTAGTGTGCTCCCAGATCCCATACCATTTTTATAAGTAATAATGCTCCTGGGAAAAAATATTCCCATGTAAATTATTGGCAGGAAATATTGTGCAACTCAAGCCATGTTATTTCCAGTTAGCATGCTGCCACTGTAGATTACTGGTGTTTTACTTCATGTGGTTATTTTATTGAGTTTTCATCTATTGTTTTGCTTCATTTGACAACCTTCCCTTCACTTTTTGGCAGTTGAAGATTATATTGTGGATATCATATTTTTGTTATAATTTTATAATATATCTAGGAAAATTGGAAATAAAAATACATTTTAAGAAAGTAATGGACATTTCTTTCCATTAAGATGTTAACATGGGGTATTGAAGAAATATTTATACAGTGAAATAGTTTATGCAATTTTCCTGTTTAGGAACAGGAAAGTAAATTCTTTCTCTGCTGTCTTCATACGTGCTGTTAAAATATATGAGCCTAATTATATTGATTATAGACTTTTCTCCCTTTTTAAAATATGCTAGTGGGTGGTAGTATAGTAACATGAAGCACTATTGCTGATTGTTATACATTCTTATACATGTATACATTCTTAGTCTCATGAAGAAAATTTGAATTCCCAACTCTAATTATTTAGCTGCCATGACCCTTATTTTTCTCTTTTTTAATTTTGAGGCAATCAGGACAAAAATTGAGCTTGGTATTTTTCTGCCACACAAGTATGAATCTAACAAATGCTATTGGAATAACAGGTGTTCATAAATAAAACTATAATATTATTTCTTTACTTCCTTCTCTTCATTGCCCAGTTGAATTAAGAATAGTCTTAAATTCTCCATTCTCCCTTTTGCCCAGTGTTATCCTTAATAACTCACCAGCTTTACTTTCATGTTCTGATTGCTGTGTGTACTTGCAGCAATTCAATTTAGCCTGGAATATTTTTCTGTTTAATGTGGATGTCTCTTCTCTTTGCTAAGACTGCAAGTCCCTTGAGAACAGGGAACTATATCGTATATTCTTATATATCTCAAAGATTTTTACTTTCAACTAGACATATATTAGATATGTAATAAACATATCCATTATATTGGTAAACTGCCTTCAGGATAGCCTTAAGTGAATAGACTTTTAAATTTAACAATTGGGTTTATGAAGTGGACCTTAAATATCAGATAGTAGGAGTCACTTCGTCAGTATGTCTATATTCTGGATTTGGGTTCTTACTCCACAGTTATGTAGCTGTATATTATATAATCACTTTGAGCACCATTTTCCTTATCTTCTTAAGGGATAACAATAGTACCAACTTCGTAGGGTTATTATTAATCTTATTAACCATACTAATGAGCATTAAATGAGCTAATACATATAAAATACATGTGAAAAACATTAAGTGTTAATTATTATCACTTTGTCTTAAAGTGCTTAGTATTAAGTCATCCTGGAAATAAATAGGTGTTCTTTCTGGTGGCAGTTACAGAGCACAATTCATTTTCTGAGGTCTGTACTCAGAAAGCAAAATACATGATAATAAAAATGCATCATCATAACAGAATAATATTTATACTCTCAGGAGCAGAAAGGTGTGAGCTTAATTTATCTGAAAACCACATCAAATGAAGTTAAAAAGAAGTGACCCCAAACTACAGTTGTTTTTTTATATTGCATCAGATGTTTATCTGTCAGAAGACTCATCTTCCAATCCTTTCATTGTTGTACCGTGAGGTGTCATACTGAGTTTATGTGTTTTAATCCCATAACTAGAACCAAAGGCAAGGACGACGTCAGTAAGGCTCCTGTACCAGTTTGTGTTCTTACAAAAAATGATGAAGCATGACAAGGGTTCGTTGTGACATAGCCATGTCCAAAATCCAGCCTTGGTTCAAGAAACTCAAATTTGAAGTTTGTTAAAGAGGAAACTGGTAAGGAATTTTGAAGGATGTCCAATATACTGAACTTAATATTCCATCAAATTCAAAGGTGAAAAAATGTTGGTATCACCAACATCTCAAGTTTTTCTCCAGATAGCATAGAGTTTAGAGATGTTCAGTGTCATTCCCTAGACCTCTATATTTTGTAAGTGTAGTCAGACTAGAATTGGGATGGGCATCTAGGCTTTTATCTCAAGGCAGTAGTATAAATATAAATAAATAAGTAAAAAATAAGAACCATAGATAATGAATATTCTAAGTGTCTAGTTAAGACTGCTAGAGGAGGCTTTAGATTTCATATTTCTAACTCTCTGCTGTGGTAGACATAGACACACTACTTGTAGTGATTGCCTTGTAACAGAATAGAACGACAGGGCTGATCCAGTCTCACCATATTTTCATCAGACTGTTTAGGGCATTATGTTTTATGGATCTGTAATTGAAAGCGAACATATCGTTGATATAAAACAGTAAGAACAGATGGAGTATATTTGAAATACAATTCATTTCTCAACATCAGAGTTTGACTAGGTATATGGAATTAATGTAATTACTTACATAGTTGAAGCAGCAATTTGGGGCTTATAGTTTAGGCTATTTGGAAACTGATTTTGAAAGGGCATTTGATGTTTAGTTTTAATCTTTTGTTCTGACAAGTTATCTCTGGAGAAGTAATAGTGATAGTTTTTGAGCTAATCTTTATTCTTAATATTCTCTCATTATAGAGTTAATTCTATCCATCTATTGTTTAATATGTATTGCCATCACAAGTACCTGTTTGCTTTTATGTCTGTAATGTACATTTTGGCCTTTATTGATGATATCTGATGGCATAAATGTTATTGTAAATTTTACTTCTAAGTCTTGGTTTCAAAAGTTACTTGCAGATTATTTAGTGACAATAAATCCTATTTCCTTCACTTACCTCTTGGTATATGTAATTTTTTGTCCTCTTCATTATCTTTCACCACATCTTCAACCCAGATATCAGGAACATCTTTGTTGTCCAAAATCAGAATTACTCCAGATAATTGAGATAAAATTTCTATATATTGATGTGGCACCAGATGAATGATATTATATTTAGGATGCTAGAACTTTATTTGCTGTATTTATTAATTATTTTAAACTTACAATTTTATCATAGTTATAGTAGTGGTAGTTTTATTAGAAATGTGACTTCTGAAGTATTTAATGGCTTTTGAATCCCACATGGATTATGAAAGAAAAGTGTTTTTTACACGGATGCTCCATTTTCAGATAGTGCTATGGAGTGAAGCGTTAATATAATTTCCCAATTATCCTGGGCTTGTGCAAATTCAAGGAGAGGTAGAAGAGACTCTTAGCTCGAAAAAATCCTGGAGATGCTAATGGAATCATGAGACTATTTAAGAATAAATTGTTAATACTTGAGATTAAGGAAGATATATTTGAAGTTTGAGTTTAAAAACAAAATTTAAAAATTTTATTTGGCACCTGCACATAATGAAGAAAACATTTTCATTGTCTCACAAAGAAAATCATATTTTTTATTTAAATCATATATTCTGAGTAATAGATAAAGTAATAGGATAAGTTATAGGGTATGGCAATTATATTCTATAATTGTTATTAATAATTGTTATAAAGGTTATCCTGCCTTATTTATGTAGTGTGCTCCCAGATCCCATACCATTTTTATAAGTAATAATGCTCCTGGGAAAAAATATTCCCATGTAAATTATTGGCAGGAAATATTGTGCAACTCAAGCCATGTTATTTCCAGTTAGCATGCTGCCACTGTAGATTACTGGTGTTTTACTTCATGTGGTTATTTTATTGAGTTTTCATCTATTGTTTTGCTTCATTTGACAACCTTCCCTTCACTTTTTGGCAGTTGAAGATTATATTGTGGATATCATATTTTTGTTATAATTTTATAATATATCTAGGAAAATTGGAAATAAAAATACATTTTAAGAAAGTAATGGACATTTCTTTCCATTAAGATGTTAACATGGGGTATTGAAAAAATCTTTATACAGTGAAATAGTTTATGCAATTTTCCTGTTTAGGAACAGGAAAGTAAATTCTTTCTCTGCTGTCTTCATACGTGCTGTTAAAATATATGAGCCTAATTATATTGATTATAGACTTTTCTCCCTTTTTAAAATATGCTAGTGGGTGGTAGTATAGTAACATGAAGCACAATTGCTGATTGTTATACATTCTTATACATGTATACATTCTTAGTCTCATGAAGAAAATTTGAATTCCCAACTCTAATTATTTAGCTGCCATGACCCTTATTTTTCTCTTTTTTAAAAATGGTGGTTATACCTATTTTCTAGATAGTTCGAGCATGAGATGAGGACAGCACAGTGCCTGATAAATCATAAATGAATTTCATCCTCTCTCCCTACCTTCAGCATTTCAGCTGTTATGTTACTATACATGGGGCAAATAATTTAAGTGAATAACCTAGCTGATTTAAGACTATTTTCAGTTAGTCCTGTTGAAAGAGCTAATGGGGAGCAAAATCTATAAGCAACACACTCTGTCAGCAAACAGCCTCACCATGTTAAATGTAGTTGTCTTTTGTTATGCATTACTCCAGTCAAGAAAAATGTTCAGCCAGGCTTAGCAAACTAGATCCACAATGGCATAGGAAAGCACAAGAATTAATAAATTTACTCTAGAATAAAAGGAAATTGAATGACTTGGTAAATGTAAATTCATTTGAACAGTATTTTGCAAAATTTAACATGCATCAGAGACTAGTTCCAGAGAATCTGATTGAGCAAATCTTGCAGAGGATTTGTGGTCATTTGATTTCTTATGAAGGATATGATAGGTATCAGAAGTTTAAACCAATAAAAGAAAAAAATTACTGTCAACTTTATCCATCCATGTGATAATACTATTTTTTGCTTTAATCCTGATGAATGAATGAAATTGACTGAAAATGATCATTCTATACTGTCTATACAGCTGCTCAAAACCTAGAGTCAGTCCTTCATTTTATATAGTGTGAGGCAAACTGCATCATAGAAACTTCAAGGTCATACGGTACAGTGTGCTGCATCCTATAACATAAGATACATGGAAATCAGTTTGCAAAAGATAAGTTAGTGGGTAATGGTTAAGATTAGAAAACAAAAGGGATTTACTTCAAGGATCTTTTATCAAAAGGTCTCCTGATGCATTTGAAATATTATTTGACTTACACAAAACAAATTTCACTTAGCTTCTCAGGAAGACATGTACGTAAAACAAAATCTATATAAATGTTTGGGAGGGAGGAGAAGGAGACTCGAGAGTTGTGTAAGACCTAAATGGTTGAGGCACTCTGTTGCTTTAGGATCATTGTTCTTAAAAAGGTAAATAATCAACTACTGACTTTTTAAAAGGTGAATTTTACCTTAAATTAAAAAAATGTTAAATATAAGCAGCTTCCAATCTCACAATGAAATCTTAATGCACACGAGAGACATTTTAAAAATAACCCATTACCACTCTGGTATTTTTTTTTTTTAGTTTTTGACTATTACTTCCCCATTACTGTTGATAGTAAAATGAAGCACAATTGCTGATTGTGAATCTACTCTATCCCTGTGGGTACATCAGCATTTTGAAGGCAGTGCCCTTGGGTGCCTCTCTACTTAGGGACAGCTGCTGTGAGTTGAGAAGGTCATAGAAGTAGTTGGAAGTTCTTACTGCAGACCGACTCATCTGTATTCTTACTGCTTAACCAACCCTCCTGGACCTTGGGACTTTCTCTGTTATGAGGTGGTTATACTATTACCCAATGTGAAACTGTTAAGAGCTATGTTGGCGTGAAATGTTACTGTACCTACTCCAGAGATTTCCCACCCTCTTTCCTGAGGCCAAATATCTGTCAGTCACATTTACTCTCCTTTCATGTGCTGCCATTTCCCCAGCACATCTGAGTTTCTATCTTTTAATTTATTAAGAGGTCACATCAGATACCCATTTCCATGCTTTCAGTTTCTTTACTTCTTTTGAATGTGTAGTTTGAGAGGTGATCTCTCTCTTCCAGCCAGGAGCAGACAAAACCAAATATATACCTTTATTCCCACGGTCAGTGGTTTTAATTCAGAAAATATTTTGCAAAAAGATTTTTCTATTTTTAAGCACTTTGTGGAGTCAGACTGAACTGATAATCAAATCAGGATTATGGAATTTGTCTCAAATGTTAGATTTGGGCAAGTTTTCTTTCCTACTAAAAATATAATTTGCATTAAAATCTGTATGGTGTTTTGTTTTCTAGAACATCCAGGAGGGAATATGGAAGAGACTTGATTAAAGTGAGCTGATCAGGAAAATATTATGTACCTCTTAGTTTATGTTTTAGCATATCTACACATCAGTTTGGATAAATTGCATTTCATTCTTATTAGAAAGAGAATAGAGAAAATTATTCTTTATTGAGACAGGTATAAGAATTCATGGTTCAAGAAATACTCTTACTGAAACAAAAGAAAGGAAAAGAAGAAAAATTGTGAAGCTCTTCCCAATTAGCTCTGAATTGAACATGTGTTGAACGTGTGTTTAACCTCACACTATGGACCTGTTTTATAAGTACGCACACAATCTCAGTTTAGATGGTCTTTGGTTTCGTTCCTTGTGCTTCTTGATTTTATGTTCATACCTTGGGGCTTATATATATCCAGTTCTTGTAATCAGTTCATCATATCATTTACAAGTGATATGTTAAGAAATCTGTGAGTTGCTATACTTTTTGAGCAAAGAATTTTAACATGAGAGCCCAGAGTAGCACATAGAAAGAGTTCATTTAGCCCATATATTACACAGATAGAGAAACTGAATTAAATTATGGATTACTAAACAACATGTCCAACTATATGTTTTTTTTCATTTGTTTACTATCTCTGGCAATTTTCTGGCTCTGATCAGAGAGAGAAGACTTGAATATAGTGGGAAAACTAGTAGACTCTGAATTTTGAGAATGGTTCAACTCCATCAATATTAGTCCTGTGTTCCTGGGTGGTGGTGCGGGTCCCAACTTTGAGGTTAAGGTATCTTCATAGGGTGGTTATGAGATAATTTATGTGAAATGTGGTTTTGATACCTCAGAATGCTGCATAACACTATTGTTTACTGCAGGTACTCCTGTTATTGTAACCATGCTGGGTCAAACTCTGCATTTTCAACTCTAAACACATAAACATTTCAGTTGTTTAAAGAAGTGAGCAGTGGACTGGAAGGGAGACATGGGGCAGGGTGGTTAGAGAGAGAAAATTGGAGTTTACCAACGCTAAAAAAGACAGGTTAGAAATAAGGATTTTAGACACAAATTTGTAAGTTGCCAGTGTATGATAGATTCCAGACACCGTCTCCCCTAGCAGGTTTTCTCTGCCTCTACCCCTGGATGTGGCAAATAGAAAGTAAGCAAGCAAATAATCCAGCATCTCCTTCTTTTGTTGTTAAAGATACTTTGGGTTTAACTTCAAATATAAGAAATCTCAAAATTCTTAGTTTTATTTGGCTCTTACGGTAGTAGTAAATCATCTCATGCACAGAGCTATGGTTTCAAGGTGACGGCTTCTATTTATGGTTGTTAGATGAACTTAAAATGTTTAAGAAAAAGTGGTTTGCTTCAGGAAATGAAGGGCATATGTTTGCGAGGCTCCCTGGAACCTTAAAATTTCTAAAAATCATTTATCAATTTGAAGAGGTCTGGAAATAGGCATAGAGTGCTTATTTTTGCAAATTAAATGATGTTTGAATCTTTGCAAGGACAACTTCTAATGAGGAAAAATTGCAAATGATATTTTGGTATACATAATAAATAACATTTTGCATCCTATTTCAGACCCACAAATAGATTTATAATTAACCCTCTGTAGATTTGCTAAATGAGCAAGGCAAAACTTCAGTGCAGAGGATTAAGAATACTCTGACAGCAATACATTGTAAGGAAATTAGAAACTGGAGAAATAAAAATTAAAATTAGACTTAAAGTGACAAAAATTTTTGAATAGCAAATAATTTATGTAAAACATGCTACAAAATCTGGGATGCTAAATAGTTGATACAAGTACTGTGGCATTTAGTTTCATTTAAATTGGTAAGAGTTTGCTTCTTCCAACATTTTGCTTTTTCTTTATGATTTTGTATATTTTCAACAAAAATTTGCTGTACATTTTTAAAGTTCATTCTTCTGGAAGCTGCTCTTAAATTTGCCATGATAAACCTGCATAAAACTGGACTTTTATAAATATAATTTCTTTGGAAGAAATAAAGTAAGTTTGACATTGTTTTTCACAAATTCTTTTCTTGTTTTTGATTGTTTGACCTGTTAAACTGACATATTCTCAACCTATTTTTGATGTCATGAATATGAAATGGCAACATAAAAAAGCACTTCCCTTATTGCAACAGCAATTGAAACTTGTAGTTTTATATTAAACACAGAAGAATGTGTGAATATCAAATAAAATAACAGTATTTTCAAACAATAGTCTGTCAAGTGAACAACAGAAGCAAGTTGATTATTTCAGTTTCTGAAAAGTCAAGTTTCATAATTTGATTTAAATCAACTTATAATACAATTATGTAACCAATATGTGATCTGGAGTGGTTTCAAATTACTCTGGATAATTTTTCAAATATTGTGGAGGTGGATATCATTATGGATAGCAATATTAACAATTTAGGACAAATTAAGGATGTTTACAGTATAGTTGAGTGATAAGGTTCTTCACTGTGGCTCATTTCTATATTGAACGAGCTGTAGATGTTTAGATTTCTCCTCCAGGAGAGAATTGACACAGTGCACAATGCAATGCAGAAAATATTTCCTTTGAGATAGTCCCCAAATACAGCCTCACAGATCTAAATGAGAAGTTGTCTTAAAATCAGGCACATTTTGCACTGACTGATTTTTTTTTTAGGCAAACCACTTCAGGTTAATTAGGAGAAAAATCGCTACTGTGCAATTATTAGGCTCTATCATCCCACCTTGGCCCTAAAATAATGAGATGTAACAAGTTTTCCTTTTGTCACTGGCAGCTGTACCTTTAAAGGATATCAAAGTCTGTTGCTGTGGTTACGGCCTTTGTTTCCAGTGATGTTTTGTCCATGCTTCCCCCACCCTTAAAGATGCTTTACTCAAAAGAATGAAATAATGACTCATTCATTCAGAAATATGTTGTTAAAATATCCCTCTTTATCATTACATTTCACTGCTTAGAAACTAGGCTGTAATTCAAGGCAACAGTTAATTTCTCAGAAGTGTTAAAAAATCTTTGATTTTTGTTTCATTTATAAGAAAAACCTGTCTATGTAATTGAAGAATTTCTTACAAGTCTCAACAATTAAACCCTTTTTGGTTAATGTATTATTTCTGGAACAAGTAGATAAAATTCTACGCAGTAAGCATGATAAAAATCGTGCACATTTCGCACAGCACAGAATTTTAGAGTAAAGGTTTCTGGGCACAAAGCAGTAACAAAACAGTCCCTACAAAAACTGAGTAACTCTGAATAACACAAGAAATAATTTTTGTTAATTTAAAATTTTAGAAACTGAAATGTGTAAAGTTGGTAAAGTAAAATGTAATTAAATTATGGTACTGTACATACCAGTTGTTCTTTCATTGAAACTTTACAATATGAAAAATACATTAGCTTTGTACAGTTTTTACAGGTAGGATGAGTTTTGCAAAAAAAATTTTCTTTTTTCAGGGTCAAACTTTTTTAAGTCAAAAAAATACTGCACAACTTAGCTAATTACAAAGTGTAGACTTGAAACAATTCATGTCTTCTTTATTTCATGAATCAATCTTGGATTTTTGTGTTAACAGGGGATTTTGTTTTGTTCCATTTGTTTGTGTTTGTTTTTAGAGTCCACAACCAACAAATCTTCCTCATTTTGTCCTTGAGGTTACAAAGTTTGGTGGCAACCCTTGGCTACTGAGCAGCTCAGTCAAGCCAGCTGCTGTTTATGGTCACCGATTTGGCCAGCTGTTGTGATTGTGCTCAGGTCCAGCTCAGTCTCTAGGTGTGTTTCCATCGTATCTTCCTGTGCATTCGTTTCAAAGGACTTATGAGAGAGGAGTTCATGGTGCACCCCACAGTAACTTATTGTGGGCTGGTCGTATGCCAGAAAGGTTGACACATTCATTGATAAAGGTATCTGGGAAAAAAAATGACATGAGAAAAGTCAGTTATAAAAAGACAAACAACTTGGGGGCAAGATTTGGAGACTGTGAAGTGCTGATCTGTTTAACCTCTATGGTTACGTTTGTGACTGAAGTGTCCCCACACTACCCACTAGTGTTCCTCATTCTTATTCCACTAAGCACAGTGTAACAGTCTAAAACTTGGGATGAAGCTGCTGAATTCTTAACTAGAACCTGCAGGTAAATACGGGCTCAAGCATTTCTAAAAATGCTAAAAGCTATTTTGGAAAAGAAAAATGTTTTTCCTCACTGTAGTAAAATTATGCTTTTTGAACTAAGATAGCTGTTTTTTTTGGTTATATATGGTATTGCAATGCAATAGAACAGTGTGTCTCAAATTTTATCATGTATAACAATCACCTCCCCTTCTTCAACTCCAGCCCCTACTTCCCCTAGTAGGTCTAGGATAGGACCTGGAGTCTGCATTTCTTAACAAGTTCCCATATGATTATGGTGGTGTTAGTCTACACACCACACTTTGAGAACCACTGCAGAGAAAGAATTGTCTATGCAAGTCATTCTGGCTCATCTTACCCACTAACATCTTAATATTTATTTTGCCATGAAGATTCCTTGAAACATTAATGTCTATCATTTGGTCATATATCTGAAATTCAGGGCTTAGAGAACTCCTAGAAAGAATATGTGGTTCCCATGAATGTTCAAAAAGAACAAAGAATGAGACTCCTTTGAAAGAACTAATGATATATATGAGAAAGGGACTCACTTGCTAATTGCAGCAGCTTAATGAAAAAAAGCAACTTCTAATGATATGATGAAAAAAAGCAAGCATGACCACTGTGAGCACAAAGGAAACATGTATGTTACAAAGGTCAGTCTGAATGTAATTAGATGTCAAAGTCTAGAAATTACTCCCCATGTTTTTTTCAATAAGATAAACACTTGTTTTAAAAAGTAGGCAGATTTGAAGAAACTGCAACCCTGATCTGTGTTTAATGTCTTAATTACTAATTCACGTTGTTAAATTGCCACAGATAAAAACGTGTGCCATTCTTGTTTGGTGAATGGATACAATTTCTATTTGAGAACTTCAGGCTAAATTTCTTTCCAATCTCAGCTGAAATGAGAGCCCAAAGATAAGAAAAATAGAATGTCTAGGTTTTATTCTTTTGTAAGCGCCTCCTTTGATTTCTTTATTCTTTTCTTCTTGCATAAAAACCTCCTTTGACTTTTTTCATCCCTACTCTTCTGCCCATATTTATTTCTCCTTCAGTAAAAATTGGCTGAGCAAATATTTCATTGTTCTATTTTAAATAAAAGTATTTACTTATTTTGACATTATTTTTTTATATGAACATTTCCATGTATCAAGTATATAGGGTTTAGTCCTTGGAGACAGAAATGTAATCCAGTTCATCAAATTAAATTCCTGAACAATTCTTCCTATATATGTGGATTTTTAAAAAATTTGAAACATGCAGTATCTGATATAAGAATAAAAGACAATGCACAATTTAAAAAATAGTCAAGGTGACTGAGAGATCATAAAAATAAAATTTGGATGCTCCATTTTAAAATAAGAATTCCTGTTGTTACAGATGAAATAATTCAGATAACTAGAATATATTATTATGTAAAAGTAATTGTGTAGCATGAATAGATTTGAGTTAAGGAGAGAACAAAAATAGAACTGTTAATGGGTACATGAGTTTTACATCAACCTCTGAAAAAATCAATATTCTGTAATGTGCTATGGGTCATATATCTGTAGGATTTTATATACTTGTTCTTATTTATCATGGAAACTTATGCTTTATGTATTCTATATCATTCCCGGCTTGGAATTAACTCTACTGTGAATAATTTGTAATTTCTATGGTGGTGATTTACAAAAAATAGTAAAACATGATGTATTTATTCTGTGTGTGTGTGTACACATACGTTTTCCTGCTTGATTTAATATCTAAATGCTGCTGGCAACCACTGTGCAAGTTCTAATTTGAACCATATCAGTTAAATAGTTAGCTTCCATTATTTATTTAAAAAATTCTCCATATTTTCTTTAGAGAGTTTCTCATTTTGGGGTATGTTTTATTTTAAAACACCTAACCTGATGATTATTCTTTTTCAATGTTTCACATTTTCATATTTTTGAAATTGGGGTGGTACTTATAATCACTGTGGATATTTAATGTGCATTTTATTCCCTACAATTGGAAATGATTCTTAAACTTGATGACATCTTGATATAAAGAATATAACAAAGATGCATAACAATCATTTAATAGCTAATTGTATCTGAATACAACATTGCAGTAGATTCTCCCCATGTCAATTTATGATTTTGAAAATCTAAGTGTTAGCACTGGATATATTCACATGTTTATAGAAATACACATATATATTGACATGTATATATATATATATACATATATATATACACACACAACAATATATATATATACAACAACATATAAATATATACATAAATACACATATTACACATATATATATATAATCTTGTAGCCAGTTACTGTGATTTCAAAATCATTTAAATCATGAATGGAAAATACAAATTTTGGTGATGTATTGGTTTTGGACAACTGTTAAATATTTGTTCTCTATAAAAGATATATATGTAGATACAATATTCCACATAAATACCATATACATGTATATGTATATACATACAGATATCTATATGTATGTATGTATCTGTCTATTGGCTGGTTAGTCATGGCGAGACTATTCACTAACACTAAGTGAACACGTACCTTGAAGCTCAGATACAATCGGTGTAAATCCCTTCTTGTCACCAAGTCATTAAATACGACAGCACCTTTCCTTCCTCACATAACCATCAAGTGACCTTGTACACTGTTTTTTTTTCTTTTCTAGTCTGACGTTGGTGTTCTCTATTCACTCTGTCTCAGTCTCTTTCTCTATTTTTACCTGATTTATAATAATTTGATGAACCAGGATGCACACAGTCATGCTCTGTCCTCTGGATGGGGTATTCAACAGGGCAGTCCCAGTTGATGCTCATCATCCCATTTTGGATGAGAAATCATTTAGTCAACCTACCTGAAGATGACCCAAATATGTTATTTCATAAAAGGAAAATGAACAGTGACCCTATAGGTGCCTGACTAGCTTGTCAGAATGGTTCCAGGAAGGGCAGTAAGAGATTTAAATCTAATAAGGCTGTGCTTCCCCAGACCTTTTGTTAGAAGGCTTTAAATAAGGAGTCCATAGAATCTTCTCATCATATCTTTCTGAGAGAGAACAGTTTGCTTTCAGTGTATTTTAACCTAATAAACTCCTATTTATAATTACTTGTGGTTTGCCTCAATACTTTAGGTCAGTGTCTTCCAGATGAGGTCATTATTCTTAAGGCATAACTTATAGAGATCCAGGGATATAAAAACTTTCTCCCCAAAAAGCGATATCATCTAGAGTATGAGCTAAGAAATTTTTATATGCTATTCTAATAATGAGAGGTAGTAGTTGACCCATTATTTAGGAAATTTCCCTTAGGAAAAATTTTGACTTGATGAAATTAGTAATTATCTTGACATTGGTGATATTTGCCTAAGCAGTAGTTTTCCAGTATCATTCTTAACAACACCAATATGTACCTTTCACATACAAAAATTTTATAATGTTGGATCAGTAAAGACAACTCATTATTAATGATCTTTTCCCTGTTCATATGTAATATTTGAGCTTGTGATTTTAAAGGGAAAGAATAGCTGTATAAAGTTTCCAATTTATGATTAAATGAAATGGTCATTTTAATCTTATATTCACTACATAAGTAATATTTGTGTATATTTGTATAAATGAATGTGTGTATATGAAAATACATATGTATTGATTATATCCTAATTAATTGGTTACACTTAACCATTTAAACATTTCTTCTGAAGAAACAGAAAATGATAGTCCAATTTTGAGAGGGAATAATAAAAAGGCTGTTTTTTTTTCTCTTTTTAGAACTGAAAATAGGAAATATGTGCTTGTTAGGTGTTATTTCTGAATAGGGTTTTTAGTAAATATAAATATTTCTACTGATTATGTTTCAGTAGAATATCCAAGGTGTTCCCATATATTACAAGGGAAATCCTCCATTTTTATAAAGGCCAAATATTACCTAGCAAGAATTCTACTTCTCTGTTTTTGAAAGGATGATACTTTTGGGTTTTTGTAGCTATTTTTTTTTTTGATAATCTATGTATAGTGAAAGAAAGAGACTTCCTTTATGAAGGAATTAATTTTTTGAAATGAAACCTATCACTACCAAGACATATTTTTTTCTTCAGAGGCCTATTACTTTCCTTTAGTTTTTCATCTTCTAAACTTAATGCATTTTCAACTGAGTTTATTTTTAGCTATTAATATATAAAATATGAAATGAACATTGTAATATTTTTCCAATTAACAACTTCTCTGTATATTCAAACTGAGCTCATCTCTGGATCTAAACTGACTCTTCTTCCTGTGGTTCCTAACTTTTGTTATGGGGAACACCAAGTTAAGTCATTTTTGCCAATCAACTTTGACTCTTCCTTGTCCCTTGTTCCAAATGTCCTGTTATTTGAATAATTTTATTGATATCAATGACAAGTCTTTTACATGCATCCAGTCTCTCATTTCTGTTGCTACTATCTTGGCTCAAAATATCACCTGTTTACCTTAGTGATTGCATGACTGATATCCCTAATCTGTAGAGTTGCAAATAAAACTAAACATTTGTTAAGTTAATTTCTGGAGATTAACTATATTTTTACTTAAGTAAATATAAGCAACATGTAGAAAATAGTAAATGCTTCTTTGTTTTTTCTTTTTGTCATGTCTGGAATATTACTCTTGTCTTTGGAAAGAAGTGGGATTTGAAATATGCTTTACTTTGGGAAATCTGCTTCCTTAAATACATTATTTCATATGTATATATAGACATGTGAGTATACACACACACATACGTGTATGTGTG